TCGTTAGATCCTTGGAAAACCACTCACTGCGTTGAAAATCTGAGTGATTCTGTGATACCCTTTTTGAGTCTGGCAGGGCATTCTCCTTTCCGAGAAGCGTAATAAAAGTGAGTACATCATTTCTTTTCATCCGTTTCTCATTAAAGAACTCAAGCTTCTTGATGTTCTTGGAGTTTATTAATATTTGATTTGGGCCACATGCAGTGGCTTTAAGCATATATACTACACTTGAAGCCAAACGTGGCAGATCTTTGAGTTCCAGCGAGTCCGAGACAGCCTGAGCCAACATGCTGAAAACCCCATCTCACCTCAACAAACTATCAAAAATTACCCAGGCATGGCATAGATCACTGCTGATAATCAAGCTACTCAGAGAGGCTGATGCACAAACGAATCACTTTGGACCATGGGAGACCGGACTGCAGCGAAAAATCATGTCACTGCACTCCAGCCTTGTGACAGAGCGCAACTCTGTCTTAAGGCAAAAAAAAATTTGATTTTGTAAACTTTAAGAATGCTATATTGCTGACTCCATTGCTTATTTGTGATAAATAATACAGGTGTATACCAAAGAAAATATCTTTTCCTCCTTTCTGCAGTGTGACTTAAACTTAATCCTTAAAGGACATGTATTTCCGCTGTTAATGAGTTGTTTGAGCTATTTAGCTAGTAGAAACCTGAGTATACGAATCAAAGAAAAGTGCTCCTTACATGCCACAGACGTAGTTTTCTTTCTGTACTAAGATTTATTTTAGTATAGTAATTTGTTAAAGCCAAGAGCTCCTATGGAATGAAGTTAAGTGGGAGGGGAACATTGAGTAGTAAGATCATCCTTGTAATAATAGAGATGCCACTCTTGCAGGTATTGACAGCTATTGGGCCCAAAAAATTGTTACCAAACATTGGAAAGACAAGATATGAGCAACTTCTCATTGCTGCAGTCTCAAATATCAAGAAATACCATTATCCTCAGGACAATGAATAGACAATCAAAAGAGACTCACAGACTAGATCCGCTGTCATGTATCACCAAACAGGGAATGGATCCTTGTCAAACAACACCCAATAGAGATTGTCCTCAGAAATTCACTTAATAACATTAAAACCAGAAATGCACACTGATGCCACTGATGGCAGAAAACAATGATGCCAGAAAGAGAGAGAGGGAGAGAGAGAGAGGAAGGACTTGCCCAGTGACCATACTTAGTATATAAAAGCAAAAGAGCTCAACTTCTGCTCATGAAAGCAAGAACCGAGGGAACAAGAGCCAGTATCTCTAAGGATCCAGGTCTGCACCAGGGGCCTGTTAGGTGCAGGATTCTGTTGGCTCCAATGATGGGTCTCAGATGGATTAATTTTTATGGACATAGCCCCTGAAAGAAATCAGTCGAGGA